GATATGTGTTAAGGATCTTAACACACTCATGGATTGTGCTGTCCTTCGCAGTTTTGGAATTATTTTTGGAAATTTCAATCAATGTCTCAATAGAACCTCTAACAAATGCAAAGCCTTTTTTGGGGCTTTGTTCCATCAGTGGATTGGATATCCGTGTGGATTTGGTTGGGACCTTCTCCTGAATCACCTATATGTTCGATCTCTATATCCTCTGCTAGGTTTGCAACACCTTGCTCATTAGGGGTGGAATAATGAGTTCCTGTTGCTACAACACCAGTAAATATGCCATCCAACTTCTCCAAAGCTGGTTCAATTCCAGTAAATTTGAATTTTTTTGCCCCTGGCATAACCAGTAATCACAAAAAAAATTCTAATTAATATTCCAAATATATGTCTCTAGAAATAGTGATGTTATTACCGCTAACTTTTCTGTCCACCATTCCTCAGGTGCATCAATTGTCCGCTTTACTGGATTCCATCCCAATCCAGTTGACCCCCTTTTAAGCTCTTTCCAAAGTTTCCAGTCATTCTTTAATTGATCCCATTTGTTCTTTAGTTTCATCCTATCGTAATCTCTCTCAGTTATTTCCTTGAATTTAATTGTGATATTATGCCAACCTTCTTTATTAAAAAAAGTTGTGGGTCAATTTCCCAATTCCACCTCTCTTACGCATAGATCACAAAAAATATTAGTAGCATCTCTATCCCACATAGCTGATCAACCAGAGTCTTTAGATTTATTCATCTTTTATTATCATATCAACGGATGGTTAGATGACATTATGACTGAAAATGAAACACTTAAGATATGGAATATGCATATGTAAAACAAAATTCAAAAAAGATAATGAATTAAAATATATATTGGTCTATGGGTGAAACATATATGCGCTTTTCATAAAAGCATCATTTAGGAAACCTTTTCTTTTTATTTTTCTCTATTATTATAATACCACTGTATTTGAGTAATAAGCAATTGAAATTTGTAACACACAGAGCATATTAGAAATTCTAAATCAATGTTAGCAAAAACAACCCAACGGACCATAGACCATAAAGCCTATTTTCTTCACCCAACTTTCCAATTATTAACCAACAACCCAAATGACTTCATCATAGCCTCTTAAAAAACCTACTTGGAAAAGTAGTAACACCTTCATACAACTTAAAAAAGGGGTCTCATCGAAGGAAAAAATGCTAAGTTGCATAAATAGTAACACCTTCATTGAAGCACACATGTTTATCACCATCTCAGTAATAAAATGCTAAGTGCACACCATTTACATATCTAATACCAAACCTTATTTTTTACATTTATACTCACCAAATCTTTCAAATCACAAAAAAACTATAACTATATTTACTTTTAAAAAAATAAAACACACCTTCTAATGCATAGGTAAGATGACATATATGTAAAAATCAAATTTTAGGTAAATCTTCATAATAAAAATAGCATGGTCTCAAAGACAGAAAGAAGCACGAAGTTAATCGCAGGGACAGTGCTTATGGTGTTAATGTCATGCTTTCATCTTGATATTGTTGAAACTGCACCGACACAATTTTATGAAAAGAGTCATTGCATCTAAACTATCACGTGGTCCTCCAATGAAAGAAGCATGAAGTATAATGGTTTATCTAATAGTATTACTTCATGCTTCCCCCGTTGTTACTGAGCATATATTCATTAAAAATGTATGGAGAAGAAATCGCAGGGACAGAGCAAAAGAATCAAATCATAATAACACGCGATCCGAAAAATGTGTTTAGATGGAGAAGTTAACATGACATGTATTGGGGTTTATCAGTGTATCAATTATTCAGCAAAATATAAACCAACTTTAATACCAAATGGAAGGGACAAAGCATTGCAGCAATAGCTGCTAGCGTCAACTTTGAATAGAACATTGCATCAATATCTTCTAGACTCATAAAATACCCTTAACTAATCAATAACTTTGAATAGCATGGAAACCATACGAACAAAACACGAAATTTTTTTTTTCGGAATAAACACTGTTCGAAGAAAGATAGGGATGGGGAATGGAGAAGAAAACCCTCTGGATGCTTCAAACATATCACAATAACAATGGATCTACATTTTTATCGTATCTACTTGCTTATCCAAACCAGATCTAGGTTTTTTAGCCACCAAACACTTCCAAACAGATGGATCGAGTGAAATCTCTCGGCGAAATAGGGGAAAAGAGGGAGGAGCCGAGCGATGAAAACGAGTTTTGTTACCTGCGGAGCGACGACGGCGGGATCGACGCCGTATGTTTGAAGGAAGGTGTCGGCTGCGCGCTGAGGGTAGCGGAGTAAAAAAATGAAGCCCAAACGCGGATCGTAGGGATATACCCGCGATCCGCGTGTAGTGTAATTGAAAAAAGATGTTTAAAAAAATGCAGGCCAAAAGCAATATCCAAACACTAACGCCGCCGCACATTTAAGCTGCCCCAAACGGGCCCTAAGTCAAGGTGTCTTAGGGTGTGGGGCGTGTGAAAAATTGTGGTGTGTGCAAACTAGCCTAACCAAGACCATACCACCCAGGGTTAGTCCTAAGGCATGACCATCCTATGGGGAACTCCTCTTGAGTTCCTCCATACTAACCCCACCTACTAAGTGCTAGAGGCTAGGACCAATATGTTGAATTCCAAATTGAGCAAATAAGTTAGAATTTCTAATGGTAAGGGTTTCTTTTCTAGTCCTCTAGGAATTGTCAACAGGAAAGTTCTATGGCTAGATCTATGGCTAGACCCTAGGCGGCTACTAAAGAGGAAAGACTAGACCTCAACCAAAAGTGAGGTCAATAAGTATTAATTTCAAATCAATCGTATATCATATCTCCTCCTTAGCATAACTTTCATCGCTTGTTCATGATCTTTTATTCTTTTCATATTTTTGTTGTTTGAGTTTTTTTTTTCCGTTCTCTATTTATTTCACTGGCAGCATCTTTTGTTTATGTCGTTTAGTAGACGGCAAATTTCGTTTTGAGCTTTTTTAGTTAGTGAAAATCAATAATCACCTGTTTCTCATCAGATAAAAGCTGAATATACCTCAATCATTCTAATAAAGTTTACTAAAAAAGGTACAAATTACTTTAAATAAGTGGACATTTATAATATTTTTATGTATTCTAAAAGTATATTATTTAATATGTAGGTTGTTATTTGCGTATTTTATCATGAACAAATTCCTATGAACCTTCCTTATGAAAATATTTATAGGCGAGACTTCTATGGTTGTCAGATCAACTTTTTTCTTGGACAATTTTCTGTTGAAATTGTGAATTTCTTTTTAGTTGCATGTCTTTGATGGAGGTTTGTCCAAATTTTTGTTGTGGAAACCATTAGGTCGTTTCCTTTAAAAGTTAGTATTTTTTTTAATGCAATCTTATAATCCAAGATGCATGTATCTCTATTCTTCCTGGTAGGGCAGACTCTTTAAGTTCATATTATGTATATCTCAACCATTTGATGTCAATTTTACATATCATATTTCTTCATCCATTCCCATTTAGTACTAAATGAGGTGTCAACTCTACAATAAATGAATTTATTTTTCTTTTCTTTTTTTCATTCCAAGTAATATATAGCTTTATTCCTCCCTTCCCCTTCCTAATCCTTCAACAACAGTTTTATATACTTGTGTTTTTGGTATATCTGTTTCCCTTTGCTGTACATTTTCAAAAAATCAAGTATATTTCTACTAAATTGTTTCAATGTGTGCAATTTGTGTAGTATAATCATTTCTAACTCTTATTCTTTTCTAATTTTACTTTATATTCAACTTAAGATCTTCATCCCTATTATTTTGAATTTTTAGATCCTAGGTAATTTGGCCAATCAGTCATAGGTATCATGTTACAATAAGACAAAATGGAGGACCCACTTAGTGGGATAAAGGCCTATTGTTGTTGTTGTTATATGCATCACGTAAACTCAAAAATGATGGGTAGTATCCACATCAATTATATATCATATCATTTATTCATCTTCAGTATAACTAGCATCACTTGTTCGTGATTTGTAAAGTTTTTCTAATTTTTTTGGTTTTAGTTTTTGTTTTTGTGATTTTTAAATTTCATTTTTGATTTAGTAAAAATCAATCATCATCCTTTTCTCATCAGAAAAAAAATTATAAAAACCTCAATTGTCCTAGTTTTCACCTGCCAGATTTGTTAGCTTGAATATATTTACTTATAAATTTTTCTAGTAAATGAACAACGTTACATTCTGTTGTCCTCTTCATCCTTGCTCTCACATTAGCTGGAAAGCTCCATAAATCAGAGCTTCACCAACTGGTTTAACCTTTCAATTCATCACTGGTGGTTGAAAGCATGCATACCAAATTGCACAACTAAACTGAGTCCATTGATGGCCAAATGTCTTCCTTACCTCTTCCGAATTTTATAATTAGCACCACAAATTAAATGAAATTATATTTATGGAAAAATCTTTCACGTGAACTCTTATGCCCATCTGCAATCCAATTGTGCATATGCATGCATAGCTGTGCCCCCCGCACATGTTCTTGTTTTGTTTCTTTGTTTCTTCTGTTTGAATTTCAAAGTCATTTGGTATTCTCTAATATTTTGAAATTTTTTCAGAATATCAAGACGAACACTCTACAAAATTTCCCTATCTGTGGGTTATTGGAAGCGTGGGAGTTACTGTTTTCATGATTGGCACTGCAGTACTTCTGTGTGTTTCATTTAGATCCTGTAATTTTCGGTCTCCATACAGCCATAGAAAGTGTCCTGAACAACCAATCCCACATAAATTCCAGATTCTCAACAGTAGCAGCTTTTGTTATGCCTCAAGAAGATTTCTTTGCTTTAAATCTGAAAATTTCAAGCATTCAACTCAGGATTCCGGTGATCATCTCGTCAACATTCCGAATGGTAGCAACTGTCTTTATTCTTTTTAGTTGATCTCTTGCCAAGCATATATTTTATTATTCTCTCTGCGGTTAACTTGTTTACTTAGAATTTTTAGATTATGACGCTAAGATGAATTCATTTACTAACAGAACATAAAGCACATTCCTTCCCAATGCCAGAGTTCTCCTTACATTTGTCTAATACGTCCTTGAAACAATTCTAGAGAAAAACGTAGAAAATTGGCATTTAGAGTCCTACTAAGAACTAATGTAATGCTAAAATTCTTCTGCTAAATTAAGCAGGAAAAGAACTTAATGCACAAAATTCTCATTAACAAATAAATAATATATTAAGAAGAAAAGAACTTGTATCAATAATATAATAAAGCATGTGGGAAATCAAAGAAATAATTTGTATTTCGCCTTATTCTTTGAATTGATCATACACGGTATTATATAGGAGATTTAAAGGAGAAAAACTAAGAAACTATTTAACTAATTCCCTTAATTTAAGGGATCACAAATTTATTCTAATTTCCTTAATTTAAGGGATTTACCAATTAATTCTAATTTCCTTAATTAAGGAAATTGGAATTAATTTTCACAACTTTATTTCCATTTCATTCACATCTCGAAACTCTCCCTCAAGCTGAGGAATAGATGTCTTCCATTCACAGCTTGAATACAAGATCATGGAAACTTGAACTGTTCAGCCCCTTTGTTAGAACATCGGCTAATTGTCTTTCTGATGGAACATAGGACATACACACTAACCCTTCCTCCAGTTTTTCTTTGATGAAATGTCTATCAATCTCAATATGCTTTGTCCTATCATGTTGTATAGGATTATGAGCTATATTAATGGCAGACTTGTTGTCACAGTAGAGCTTCATAGGACCCTCCCATGAGATTCTTAAATCATCCAATATGATTCTTAGCCACAGTAATTCACATAATCCTTGAGCAATAGCCCTGAACTCTGATTCTGCAGATGACCTTGCCACTACATTCTGCTTCTTGCTCCTCTATGTCACTAGGTTACTTTCAAGAAAAGTACACTATCCTGTAGTTGATCTTCTATCCACTATGGAGCCAGCATAGTCAGCGTCGGTGTAGGCTTCCAGAGTAAGAGTGTCATTCCTTTTGAACAAGATTCCTTTCCCCGGATTGCCTTTCAAGTAATGCAGTACCCAGTAGGCAGCCTGAAGATGAGGTTCTCTAGGATCATGCATGAATTGACTGATCATACTTACAGAATATGTTATGTCTGGTCGAGTGTGAGCAAGGTATATGAGTCTGCCAACCAATCTCTGGTACATTCTTATATCCACAACTGGTTCTTCTTTAGCTTCTCCCAACTTATAGTTTGGATCTATTGGAGTAGCGATTGGCTTACACCCAGTCTTCCCTGTTTTATATGAAGATCCCCTGTGTGGAATGTCACCTCAAGATCGAGGAAGTACTTCAATTTCCCCAGTTCCTTGATTTCAAATTCTTTTATAAGTCTCAGCTTTAATTCATGCTTCTCTTTCTCATCATTTCCAGTCACTATATGTCGTCCACATAGACTATAAGAGCAGTCACTCCCCCTGCAGCTGAATGTTTAATGAAAAGAGTGTGGTCACCTTGGCTTTGATTATACCCAGATTCCTTCATGACTTTTGCAAATCTGCCAAACCATTCTCTAGGAGATTGTTTTAACCCATAAATGACTTTTTTCAGCTTTCACACCTTGTTACCTGTGTCCCCTTCAACTCCCGGAGGGATGTTCACGTAGATTTCCTCATTTAGGTCACCATGAAGGAAAGCATTCCTTACATCATACTGTAGCAGTTGCCAATTGAAGTGAGCAGCCAATGATAACAGGATTCTCACAGTGTTCATTTTTGCAACTGGAGCAAAGGTTTCCTGATAATCCACCCCGTAAGTCTGGGTGTACCCTTTGGCTACTAACCTTGCCTTATATCTTTCAAGGGATCCATCAGCCTTGTACTTTAATGTAAAAATCCACTTGCAATCAACAATGTTTTTTTCCTTTGGTTTGTCAACGATCTCCCATGTTTTATTCTTTTCTAAAGCACTCATTTCCTCTTTCATAGCGTCTCTCCATTCCCTTTTTGTCAATGCCTCAGACACATTGTTAGGAATGACAATGGTGTTCAAACTCACAATGAATCTTTTGTGGGCTGGTGATAGGCGCTTGAGAGATACATATTGAGATAGTGGATAGAGTGGATTGGATTCTTGGACTTGTGTCAGTTCAGGAACGACCTTTCCCCTTGAATACACCTGAGGAAATCTCGGGAAATCATTAGTAACACTGGTTGGAGTAGAAGATGATAAGGGTTCAGGATCAAGTGACTCAGATGTGATTTGTTAAGAGGACTCGGGTTCAGCTGGAATAGGAGGAGAGTTTGATCTAGGTTCAACAACACGGGCTGACACATGTGGAAGGTCAAGGGTTTTAAGTGGTTCAAAGGGCTCACAAGTACTATCTTCCATCATGGAAATTTCCTCCTGAAGAGAGGACTTGGAAAAAAAGGATTTATTTTCTGTGAAAGTGACATCTGCAGAGATGTAAAATTTTCTGGTAGAGGGATTGTAACACTTATATCCCTTTTGAGTGGAGTAACCTAGGAAAACACATTTGATGGCTCTGGGATCTAGCTTCCCTCTATGTTGTTTGTGGACATGAACAAAGGCAGTACACCCAAGTACCCTGGGAGAGAGGCCATTTGAGGTTCTGAAGTGAGGGTAGAAGCTATTTAGGACCTCTATGGGGCTATTGTTTTCTAACACACGGGAGGGAAGCCTATTGATCATGTGTGTGGCAGTAAGAACGGTTTATCTCCAATAGGACTTAGGAACATTCCCTTGAAAGAGTAAGGCTCGGGTGGTGTTGAGTAAATGCCCATTCTCTCTTTCAGCTACCTCATTTTGTTGGGGTGTGTCCACACATGATGAGTCATGGATAATCCCCTGTGATTGAAAGTAAGGTGATAGAATTTGATTGAAGTAGTCTCTAGCATTGTCTGTCCTTAAAGCCTTTTATTTTGACCCCAAATTGATTTTGAACCATTGAATGAAAGTTAGGTATAACTGTGCTAACATCAGATCTTTGTTTAAGAAGAAAGGGCCATGTAACCTGAGTGCAATCATCAATTAAGAGAACAAACCAACGAGCCCCAAAAACATTAGATATAGTGGAAGGACCCCGTATGTCACTATGAATCAGATGAAAAGGATGAGAACTTCTTTTATTGCTAATAGGAAAAGATACATGAGTATGTTTTGCCAATTCACAAATGTCACAATGAAACTCAGAAATATTTAATCCTTGAAATAAATGAGGAAATATTATATTTAGAACCCTAAAAGAGGGATGACCAAGACGTAAGTGATACAACCAAATGACATCTTTGTTTGAGGAACTAAGGAAAGATAATGACAAATTGCTCTTGCTTTTCTGGAATGATTCAAGGTGGTAAAGACCGCTCCTTTCCTTAGCAAGTCCAATCCTCCTCCCCGAGTCCTGTTCTTGAAAAACACAATAAGAAGGAAAAAAAATAGCATAACATTTGAGATCATGATGCAATTTTTGAATGAACATAAGGCTTGTTGATAGTTTGGGTACATGGAGAACGTTTTTCAGGATAAGGCTAGGTGTGATGTGTATATCACCAATCCCTGCAACGGTAGCTAAAGGGCCATTGACCATGATAATTTTTCTATTACTTGGACAGGGGGTATAGGACTGAAAGAGTTGAGGTGTGGGGGTCATATGATCAGTAGCACCGGATTCAATGATCTAAGAGTTGGTATATAATTTGTCTAAGACATTCATGCAAACAGTTTTACCTGAAAGAGCTATCAAACATGCTCCAGAAGGCTTCTCAAGAGATCCCAATAAGTTTCTCAATTTCTCAATTTCGTCACTGCTGAATCCTCCTATTGTTGATTTTTCCTCAATATTGGGTTGCTCTGCCATATTGCTTTGTTTCTCCCCACGATTGCCCCATTCTCGGCTTGGAGGTTTACCATTTAACTTCCAACACTTTTCCCTTGTATGCCTCAGTTTCTTGCAATAAGTACACCAAAGATTGTTTTTATTCTCCTTCCCTTGGTTATCGTTCTTTGACTTCTCCTGATTTATGTTTGCTGCTAAGGCTGACCCATCCATAGTATGTGGTTCTAGCATGACACTCCTCCGACTTTCTTCTGCTCAGATTAATGAGATTGTCTCTTCTAGAGACGGTGTATCCTCTTTGCCGAGGATTTGGATTCTAACATGATAAAATTCAGGATTCAATCCTGCCAAAAAATCATATATCCGATCCTTCTCAATGAACTTCTTCAAGGTGGCAGCATCATCAGGGCATTTCATCTCAATTACACGATAGTGATCCAGTTCTTGCCACAGATTCTGCAATAGAGTTTCATACTCTGTGATAGATTTATCTCCTTGTTTGATTGCTCTAGTTTTTTCCTTGATTTCATACACAAGGACAGCATCGCGGGCTTTCAAGTATGTGCGGTTGATATAGTCCCAGATTTCCTTTGCGGTGTTCAAGAACATGCAAGCGTCACTGATCGTTGGGTCCATAGAATCCCATAGCTAGGACATAATCATGGGCTCTTCTTCCCATGCTGTAGAGGCTGGACCCCATTTTTCTGGTCCGGTTCCAAGTAGGTGATTAATCCTCCCTTTGCCTTTTAGGTATGTGCGGACAATTTGAGACCATTTGAGATAGTTATTCCCATTGAACCTGTTGGATGCCCGAATTTTCTGCAACTCTCCAATTTTCTGAACAACATTGTATTCTTCAGAATGGTTGAAATAGTAGATAGTGGTTTCGGACATTGACATGGTGGAGAAGAAAAATTTGCAGCATTTAAGGCTAGAATAAACCTGCAGTGGATAAAAGAATCGCAACAATTAAGGTAGCGTATAAAAAGAATCCAAACAGCGGCAAAGATCGCGAGATCTGCGGCACAGGATTGCAGCGGCAAACAACGGAAAAA